TCCATTGAGAGAACTAAAGCGTCATAGGTTTCCAAGCAACAGAAACCATTTATATCATGTGCTAGCTGCCCTGTTGATCACCATCGCCCAATAAAACATAAGAAAGGAGAAATGGAAGTAGACAAATTCAGTTCCAAACCCAGAGCACGAAAATCCTCTGACATGATGGGGACGAAGCACCTCCAAGCCATCTTTCTAAGAGAAAATCGTATATAGTAGACCAAGCTCCCGGTCTCAAGGGGAAAGCCAATTAAATCCAACCACCACTTTTAGACAAACAACGCAGCGAGTTAATCGGTATTATTCTGCTCATCCACTACGCAAACCCGTTGTTAGCCAGCGCCCTTTGAATGTTCTATCAGCTGAAAGTTATAGAAAATCCCCTTAACATCGACTACAGACTACATTCAGCAAGCCACTGAACCTATTCATACATCTTTCGTATTTAGTAGGGAGCATGTGCCGATGTCTGTACAAAACTTGCTATGGTCTGATAACTACCCCAAACAGATACCAACACTTCATCCCTATTCTGGCAACAAATTACCACATACCCGTATCGATTGTACATTTCACAACAACATTGCAGCTACTAGCTGCTTCGGGCAGGATTTTCACCATCGTTGCTTAACGGAAACACCCGGCATCATGCATATAGCACGCATGATATCGGATAAATTCCTTGCTGGTATAGCGAACAGTCTACAGCTAGGACAAGGCATATTATCTGAGAGATAGCTGACATGGTGTCGGCGCCAAACGTGTATACACAGCATACTCACAGAATATTTTATCAAGATGTTTTCCACTAACTGGAACCACGTGGCCATTGTTTACCTATTATCCTCGTAATCAATAGATCAGTTCTAAACAAAAACCTAATAAACAAGTACATTAGCTCCTATATGCAGACCGTCATTGACTATGATCACCGTAACCAGGTGAACAAGTGAAATCCCGTATGACAGCCTAAGAATTGGTAACTACAACCTTTTTCGAGGGGACAGACAGACGGGCCGTAGGGGGTGTTAAACCAATTCACTGTGAACAATCCATGTGTGCACACAAGTTCAGTAACTCAATTCTGTCACCACTCAGTGACTTCATCTGGGTCGAAACAAAAGCTTTCAGAAGTAAACCTGTACTTGTGGGTTGTTTGTACTGACCTTTATCATCCAGTAAGAAGTATGATAACAAACTCAGCAACATTTTTCATGTTATAGCCAATCTTCCTTTCAGTTCTAAAATTATTGGAGGTGATTTAAACATGCCAGAAGTATCAAAGCTTTCACCTTGATGACTCCCAAGATGTGGTAATCTTCTGAACTCGATCGCCACAAGAGGGTGAACACAACACATCGATTCACCCACTACATCGGCAAATATCCTAGACCTCATTTTCACGAGAAAACATAACACGCTCTACAGTACATGTAGGACATGAATTTCCAGGTAGTGACCACAAAAAATAGTGTGTTCTTTTAACATCTTCCCTCAAACAAAACACAGAGATGAAGCTGGTCAGACACCTATAAGATTGTACACGCATGCTGACTGGGACTTGTATCGACACCTAACTGGATGCTCTAATTAAGACTCGTGATTTTCGAAAGAGTGCTTAGACACAATTCTTGACAATTTTTATCACAATATTAACTCAACTCATGATGTCACTGCACCCGAGAAGATCCTTAGCTTCAAATTCTTCCAAAGCGAGTATATTCCAACGTCGTCAAGAAGTCCACGTTAGCACTCAGTAAAATACGACAGATATCATGACTTATCATCATTAATTGCTACTAAGTCTCTTCTCACTAGAATTCAACAGTTGAAAAATATCAGCCTCAGAAAACAAAGAAATGCCGGCCATTCAGCCACCACACGACCCAAGAGAAAGAGTAAAACCTTTCAAAAGTAGGTAGACAAGAAATAATATATTTAGACGGCATTGCTTACGAGAATACCCAGGTTATATGTGAACTGTTCGGCAAGTACTTTGCCAGACTATACACCTTGAAGAACGATCAGACGAATTTCCAAGTGACATACTTTTCAACACACAAGAGATCGGCCAAGCTGTCGCAAATCTTAATCTTGGTAGCACCGTGGGTCCAGACAGTATTTCTTCCATTCTGCTGAAAAATGGTGGTAGTGACATTGTAGTGGTAGGTAATTCCCCAGAATTATTGGCCACATCATTCATCACTGAACATTGGATGCTGAGCATTACTGCTTAAGTCAACTTGTTTAGCTGAAGGCTTCCGGTCAAGCATCCTTGTCATTTGGCAAGCCATCGTGTCACGTTCGTTCGTTCGTGCACGATCCCTAGTTAGTCAAGCAATCATCTCTCGCTCAGATTTGGTCCCGAAATATATCTCGTAATTTGGACGGCCAGTTCTGGTGTTTTGCTTTGCCTTTGGTCTACGCGGAACGAATATTATAGAAGTTGTGGATATTAGATCTTGCATTAGTATACTTCGTACTATTCGTGGACGTCAACACCTTTAGCCTCTAAAACATGAATTTACTCATATCCAAATTATACTCAATTTCACTAAGCGGTGGGACATACCCTACCTGCTGGAAGAAGTCTTATGTTTTACATATCCATAAATAAGGGCCTACAGCTGATATCAACAACTACCGCCCCATCAACATGACGTCCGTAGTTTCATGTGTAATAAAAAGAGATAGTAAAGGCTCAAATTATTCACTACTTGCACTCAAGTGACCTCCTATCCCCATCGAAATAGGGTTTCCTAAGTAGGAGGTCGTGCATTACTTGCCACTTAGATTATTTTGACTACATTACACAATGCATAGATAATGGGCATTCAGTAACATTAAATCTCGACATTAGCATAGCCTTTGATAAAGTCCCACGTATCTGACTTCTAGCGAAACTCCGATCCTACCGAATAACTGGAAAGCTTCTCAAATGGATAAATTCTTCTCACGCGGAAAGAGAGTAGTTAGTCAAAATCGACCACCAGGTGTCTTCATCAAAGCCGATAACTAGTGGTGTAATACGAGGAAGTGTTCTTGATCCTAGTCTATTACTGTTATTCATAAATGACATGGTCTCTGTGATCGAGTATGGCAAACCATACCTCTTTGCAGACAATTTCAAGATAAATGGTTATGGGTACGATGACATGAGCGTCGAAAGCAAGAGCCAACATGATTTCAACAAACTGGGTGATTGGAGCGAAAAATGGCAAGTGGCTTTCAATCCACGATGGAATCCGAGAATATGCCCATATGTGTACGTTAAGCTCCTCCCGGAAATTGAACCCAGTCACAGATCTTGGGATAGCATACTCAGATTTAACGTTTTCCGACCATGAAAATAAGGTTGTATCTGACTGTAAACGACTTACTGGCTATGTACTGCATAACGTCTACAACCAAGAAGCAAGATTAGCTGTGTATGAGACATGTATCCGCTTCAAACATGAATATTGTGCTCTCCTACTTAGTAACCTAAGGTTTTCAGACCGAAAAAAGTTGAAAGTGTCTAGAGATCCTTTACGAAACGCATAACAGGGTTTGACCAACAAGTGGAACATACTGACAGGTGTATACGACCGAAATTAGAACCCCTATGGTTAAGGAGAGTGAAATGAAACTTGTTTCTACTCTTCAAAGTCATCAGGAAATATTGTTACGTAACGCATCTATAATGAGGGCAAATATCAAATCTTATCAGTTGTGCAACCACGACTACCTTCTCAAGGTGGCTACACACAGAAAAAGCAGTAGGACAAACGTTTTCGCCATTAAACATTGCACTCTTTGGAACCAACTGCCATATAAAATCTCAGAGCTTAACAGCATACAAGAGGGAGGGTGTCGCATGCTAATCAGCGGATATGGCAGTGGTCACAAATGTGAATCGCTATGATCTGTAGGACAGAAACAAGCTCGAGAATTAAACATGAGTCTAGATCCCTGATCAATAAAGAAAAATAGGGGTTATACACATCAAAATTTCAAAAAATGCTTTTGCTGCAAACATCTACAAGCCTGTTCAGCATCTTGTCGAGATGTTACCTATTGGGCCATACAGAAATTCGTGAAACATCTTACACGCTAGCTTGTCCTACGGGTTCTAATTTTCCAGATCTTTGAATTCACTCCTCACTTAAATACCACCTACCTACCTCACGACAATCTTTTTGTTTACGCACTAGTATACTCTACTTTATCTTGACAACCTAGGCCATTATTAAAGCTAAAACGTGCCCTCTGCTCATATTTGTTGCTGGCCCAAAGTCTGGTTGCTTTGATTAAAAACACAACAACACCAATGTTTGAACAAAGCTATATCTTCATCGAAAACATCCATGCTTAAACCAATATGGTTAGCACTATACATTGCAAATGTATACTATCATCTCAAGGAGTCTCCACCTCCTTCTTGTATGTATCTTGTAAGTGTACTTTCAGTGACGTATTATCGATAGTTGTATTTTATACCATTTCGCAGATTCCCATGACGTTCTTCTCTTCCTGAAATAGCTGGTAATCACGTGGCAGCATAGCATTTACCCAAATATACGCTGTTCACTGACTGACCATAACTATCAGTAGGAAACGGAACGAAGCTTGGGTTGTCGCTCAACTTCGATGGTGACCTTAGTAAATGGTGTGCAATTTAACATTTATAAGAACCTGTTCTGATTGCATATACAATTATTGAACAATTTAAACTTTTGAAAAAGTATTAATTTTTTATGATACTTCAGGATTGTAATTTAAAACACAAGTGACTGCGCCTGTGAAAATGGCATGCATTTCTTGTAAACTTACCCGCTTATACAAAATATAAATTATAATAATTTTTATATAACAAATTTTAGTTGTCCTTTTAGAACGCTACTTATACAGAAAAAATGTGGCAATATTTATGCATCCTTTAGCTTCATGCACCGGAAATACAGGGAACTTCGGCTTTATAATTTTGGGATTGATGTTCAAGATTCACCTACTTGCAATCGGAAAGAAATTCCGCGCGCGTTTCCTATGTCTGCGGTTCATGTTAGGTCATTGGTTTTCTTTGATATTTTGTTTCTGAATAACTGAATAAGGAAAGAATCCTCATTTTCTAGTTGCTGAAATGTACCATCAAACCTTGCCTGTTTCAACTGTTAAATAATGGATCCTGGTTCAAACGATTTCCGTAGTGGGAATGTTAATGCAAACTTGCGCAATCCTTCGTACCGCATTTCTACTGGGATTCCTCTACTAGATGATTCCGTGCGTGCCAGTAATTTATCGTCTAGTGGATATAGAGATAATATTGGCCAAGAGAAGCCGGGTAGTTTTATGTGTCTAAGTCGTCCACAAGCAGAGTATATGCACAGTCATTCATACTCTCAGAATAGTAGCAAAGAGAATGAAAGTCATTTTCTAAGTGGCTTTAATGAGCTTTCTCAGGGTTGTTCGCGAAAGCATTCACTTTCCGGTGTCGTACGCACCAGGAGACGAAAGGCTGGAATAAGTGAAGAAGAACGGGTCTGCATCGTGTGTGGTGAACCGGCATCTGGTTATAATTTCGATCGGCTTACATGTGAGAGTTGTAAAGCGTTCTTCCGTCGAAATGCACTGAAACCTCGTGATAAAGTAAGTCTGCTGTGTCCATATATGGTGGATGTTTTTGATATGTTGTTTCATAACAGTATGTTTCTGCTAAGATTTTTTCAGTCAAAAGTGTATACTTAACAGTGAAATCAACTAATATGTGCTATTATGTTTACCTGAATAGTTAGTCAAGTAGATTTAAGAGGTTAATGGTTTTCTACCTTCAGTAACCTATGATTCAACGTAATTCAGACATGATTCTGAATCAGATTTGTTGATTGAGTATAAAAGGCTTTGAGCTTGTGCCAATCCTTTTCTAGTAGATTTATGGGTTTGTCCAAACCCTCCTTGAATGGATCAAGTCACGTTGCAGACACCACTTCTTTTGGGAGTCGGTCCCAGGAGTTTATAACTCAGTGCGAGAACCAGCACTCCACAGCAGTATGGTTTCTCCATGGCTTTTGAACTCTCCTGCTATGTATTCCAAGGTGTTCCCACCTGGTGAGAAGGAAAAGAGGCAATAAATCAGGTCAGGTCCGTAGTCATTATTTAAAATTTTAAACATTGTAGTTAAATGGTGAGATTTGTTATACGCGTTTGGAAGGGAGTGATTATTCGTCTAAAGGTACTTAAAATTGTGGTGCAAACAAGTTAGTCTTCTCAAGCCCAAGTTGTTATCACTTAACCTACTCAGTTCAGCAGAATTAGTCAACAATATGCACTCTAGGGTGGATACAACTGAAATACCAACTTCGGTTAGTAGTGTTGCTGTTAATTTACTACATCAGACGTGTAATCTTTCCAATGTAATGGTTCATTTCCTTTTGATTAATATTTACTACACCTCTTGATACATAGTTTCTCACAAGTTGATTTTAACAGGTTTATTTAATATATTTCTGCATATATTTTGAACTGCTTGTAAAAACTGGCGTTGATTAAATCAATCATTGGTTAATTAAAGCTAGAAATTTTCATCATGTTATTATTGCCGTTGGTTTGACTTTTACATTTTTTGGAGTGGGGATTCTGTAAGTAATAGCGGCTCAGGGAATTTTGAAATATCGACCTATAAATATGCCCTACCAATGCCCCCTTATAGTATGACCAATATTTCCACTGTGATGCACATTTCCTCGTCTTTTCGATTAGGTATGTAAGAAGTGTTTCTAGTCCGCAAATATATGATTACCCTCTTAAATGATTAATACGGTATCGACTAAACGTACTTCCATTTTCAAGTTCGATTTTTCTAAATTTACCAGGTTAGTCTCTTCACAGCATGGATTTAAATGAGTAGGTTATTTGTAAAAGCTTAAAATATTTTATCGCCTGCTCTCTGCTGCTGATGCTGCTGGATTCAACATAGAACTTGGCACCGAAGTGCAGCAGTTCGAGTTGCCACGTTCCAAAATAGCACACAAAGGTAGACAGGAAAATGAGTGAAGAGAATCAATAGAATTTAGATAAGTATAAGAGTGAAACAGAATGAGCAATGATAGAAAGGAATATGAAGGTTAAAGAGACTGAATACATCTGCGCCATTGACAACGATTTTGAGCCATGTCACCTATTGTCTCCAGCCATTGATTCTTAGAGTCCCGAGGGCCCCAACCCGGAAGTCTGCATCTCCCTACCTGACTCAGTTTAACTGTCAAGGATTTCATGGATTGAAGCCATGTGTTTTATTTGGCCACCACTTACTCTTTTCCAACCTGCACCTATATCAGCGAGTAATGCCCGCCGGGGTAGGCGATGGTTAGGCATGCGCAGCACGTGACCTAGCCATCTCAATCTATGTAACTTTATAGCCTCTTCGATTGATTTTCCCTCTTTGCCCAACACTCTACGCCTAACGTCAACATTACTTACCTTATTATACCACCTAACGTGAGAAAGAGATCGTAGACATCTATGATCAAAAACAGTCAGCCTTTTCATGTCTTCAACTCGTATTGGCCATGTTTCAGAGCCATAGAGGACAGAGCAAACTGTTGAGCAGTACACACATCCCTTGGTTGGTAGCCGGATGTCACGCCTACGCCAGAGATGGTGTAAGTTAGCGAAAGCAGCCCGAGCTTTTTGGATCCGTGCTGTGATTTCGTCACCAATCAATCCGTTGGTGCTGATACAACTTCCCAAATATTTGAAGTGGTCAACATGTTCTATCACTTCACTCCCTATCACTAAGCTAGGAGTTGACGTAGTCCAGTCCTGTAGCAGCATCTTGCATTTCACAGGGGCGAATCGCATGCCAAACATACGAAGATTGCTGCTCAAGGTGTTCAGAAGACTCTGCATTTTGTCAGCGTCCTCTCCTAACAGGACTGTGTCGTCTGCGTATTCTAAGTCTATAAGACTATTCCCTGGTAGCAAGTCGATTCCTAAGTCGTTAAGTTCAGTTAAGGATACTTTCATTAGCATATCTATGATGAAGTTAAACAGAAAAGGGGAAAGTGGACATCCTTGACGGACACCACTGGTTGTTATCAATTCAGATGACAATTCCCCTCCTGCTCTCACCCTGCTCTCTATCACCTGTTTGGGGTCGTTTCAAGCGTGAGGAGGCTGTTCTGACTGACTGTTTCAAGGCAGGACTTTGTACAAAAGAGGAACATCGGCAGGTGTAGACTTTTTGGGTGGGGTGCTCGGGATGGTAAGAACCAATGACTGGAGATAATTAGTGGTATGGCTGAAGGTCGTTCTCATTGGTGCAGACGCACTCAGTTTTTGTGATTTGTTATATCCAGTAAAACTCTACTGTTCCTCCATATTAGTCTTCTTTTTCCGTCACACTTCTGTTTATTATCTCTCTTTTGAACCTCTCTCCACTCTCTTCTCTTACTTTGTGTACTACATGGAGTGTGGCAACTGGAACTGGTGCACATCTGTGCAAAGTTCTATTTTGAAACGAGTCAATCAGTCAGTGAAAACGATATTTAAACATAAGTGGTATGTATAAGGATTGTTCATATTGGTAGATGTAAATTTATATATTGTTCTTTTAAATCCTGAAATTTCTCTTAGTGTGTAATTCTGCTCAGTTTGTGAGTATACTGTGGGTCGAAGGACTGGTATTGTATTGACTATTTACATATAATGCATTAACATCATTCTGTATTGAAGAGTCTGTGTTTCAACTCGCTTCATTTAATTGCTTTCAGAAACGTTTCTTGTGTAATCTCTTAGTAGTTCAGTAGGTGCAACAATCTATAATCCTGTGATAAGTCAAACATGAGTTAAGCGACACAGACTAATTGTTACTAATGCTAGTACTACACTACTAGTTAAAATAGGTGAAAGGTAGTATATGCTAATGAATATATGTATTCTATTCCACTCAGTTCAAACCTGAGGCCAATACAATTACGCAAGTACAGTAAATGGTCAGACAGTTAAGTTTATTTTGTGTGACAAAATAAAAAAAATACGTGTTGGTGCATCGGCTGTTTAATGTTAGGATGTTCACCAGCCACATTGGAGGTCCGGTTTGGATCCCCGACTCATGCACTCCTAAACCTAGCTTATTCATATGAACTGTGGTCAAGATTTGACAGAATAGTTCTAAAATAATTGGGTGCCGAGTGAGAAGTAGACGAGAGATGTCCTTTTCATATATAAACCTCTGTTATGTCAATTTCGATTAATTTCCCCGAAGAAGTTCGGACCAGTTTGCCGAACAAAACGTTGGAATTTATTTCAATTTCATTGAGATTTTACAAATGTAAACCTAACTTAGTTGGTATACTTAATCAAGAGAATTTACAACTAAATGGTTGTCAAAGAACTAGTTCCGAGATACATACTGAATGTTCACTTTTTATTCAGTGGTCAAATATACCTACAGAAAGATGGAGTAGCAATGGGTTTTCCATTTGGTCCACTGCTTGCCGACTGCTTCATTTCGTACCTTAAGTCAAATATCTTTCTACCAACATTCAAGCGGTTTGAAGTTTAAAACAGGTATATTTATGATGTCTTTATCATCATAGATGAAAATACTGACCTAAACAAAATTTTGGAAATCTTTAACAACGTTCATCAGTCAGTTGAATTCAAAATTGAAGCGGGATCAGAAGATAAATTATCCTTCCCAGATGTCTTACTTACAAGGTAGTCAGATGGAATTTTACAAAGATCAACTTGCCAAAAACCAAATTGGAATAGACAGCTGACAAACTAACACAGTTTTGCCCCAATGAGCAGAAAGAGAATTTTCATCACCTCTTGCGGCGAGAATCTACCGTATGTGCACTAAAGACGATTTTGATAAGGAATCGGAACTCTTCAGAAAAACTAGTCGGAAATGGATATTCAGTTTCTTTCATGAATAGATATCTAAAGAAGAAGACCGACTTTCCTCTAAAACTGGATGTGCCGAAGAAAGAACTAATTGTGAATCTGAAGTTCAAGGGTGATACAATTACTGAGGTCCTTCGAAGCTGTCTGTCGAGAGCTGTTTGTTGGACGTCCTTTGTTGCATCTCTGCTCCTCATCTTCTCCACATATACTCTTATTCACCAAAACGTCAAAGACAACATAACGCCGTTGGCAACTTCAATATGTATTTACCAGTTTACCTGCTCCTGTGGAGCTGAGTCCGTAGACCGTACCAGCAGGACATTGTCCCGAAGTGCCTATATTGTCAAAATGAAAGCGTAAAACACTCAACAGCTCTATTCTGGAGTCTGTTATAACTTCTGGTCATGCAGCATCAGCATATACTTCTTTCAAAGTCATATATAAAGTACGACCAAGTTGTTCAAAAGCATTCTACTTACAACTTCATGCATCTGAAGCCTTAGCACTCTTTAAGGTGGAACCTAAACTTTGTGTTCAGAGACGTTCCATCCAGTCTGCTTAGCTACCAAAGCGTTAGTACTATTATTTTCTCCCCTCTTTGTTGTCCTGAATAACTGCATGATAGGCTCTGTGTAGTGTTTTTTTATTTTCGCAACTCATTTGCAGTCTATTGTTATCTTGTCTCTTATCAGTTATTTTCAAATGATTATTCATCACTCAATTAATTAGTTGTCAACCTTCTTGATAAGGTAAGACTCTTCCTGATTTCTCATAGTTATCACTCGTGCACTTTGATTTGCTTTCTTACTCATTAAAAATAAACTTTAACCTCTTGTAAAACCAAATTGTATAAACCCCTTAAATAACTCTACAGATTTTAAGTGAAGTCACCAAAAGAAATCTGTTTTCTGACCCATGTGTCCTCAATAACATGAAGTATGAATTTTTCATACTTTGAACGAGTAGTTCATTCTTAAATAAGTAATAATCCCACCGATTTTCCGTTTGTTTTCATTCGTGCAAAATTGGTATTATTGGTTTAGGGAAAAATCTTGAACACTGTGTAGAGTATAATTCCATTACGGCTAAAATTTTATTTTGATAAAATCACACAGTGTTATAGACTAATTTACCGATGACATTTCGAGCACAAATTGTTGCTCATAATCATATCTAGGTAATCACACAACTTTCTTGCTTCGTTTATATACATGAGTAAAAATTAACTAGGCACATGCATGAATAAATAAAATCTATATATAGAGTTCAATAGACATGCGTAAATTACTCTATAACACTGTGTGATTTTATCAAAATAAAATTTTATCCATAATGGAAAATTGATATTACTTGTCTTCCTATATAATAGCTTCTTTCATGGGAAAATTACATACATTCTTTTCATTTTGTAGATAAAAGCTTGCAATCGCGGTGGAGGTTGTGCTATCGAAGGTAATCAGCGCAAGCATTGTCCTTCTTGCAGGCTTGAAAAGTGTTTAGCTGTGGGGATGAAAAGAGAACTAATACTGCGTAAGTTATACATAGTTTGAGTTGTTTTCATTATAATAATCAATTCGGTAGCCAGCTAGTTTTATAATATTTGAATCACATTCTTTGATTTAATGAACTTCACAAACAGTATGTTTACAGCCTAAATTCATTGTGGAATTCTAGGGCTCAAAGCGGAAATAACCATTTTTAGTTGCTCATACGTCGTGTTTTATTGTGGGAAAGAGTAAACCTTAGTTGTGAATGTAACTAGGTAGACTGCATATGGAAGAATTAAAGTTTAGATTGCGTCGGTGGCACAGCGGCTCGCCGACCATGCACATGATCCGGGGTTCGATCCCCAGCCGGCGCACACCTTTACCTCGCTAAGCCAGAAATAAAACTGGTAAAGAGGAAAGGTTGGGCATGAGGCTAGCAACCACATCTTTTAAAAATAAACACTGCTACAGAAACTTCAAGCCTCTAGCTTGAAGCCCTATGTTCCATTGGGAACGTGAAGGAATCAAAAAAAAAGTTTAGATTGAATTCTCTCTACCTTGTAAAATAACTGGTGACCAAAAATAAATAAATAAATAAATACGGAATAGAGTTCTTATCATGTTTCAGCCTTTAGACCAATCAATGAATTTATATTTTTGGCGATCCATCAGGACAATGCCAGCACATTTGTCAGGGCGTGTCAGAACCAAGTTTTTGTTCTTTAGAATCTCACGTAGTTGTTTTCTGTGCTCGGCTGATATCAATCTTTTGACATTTGGTTTCGTGTTGATGTACTGATGGCAGCTGTTTAATACTGTAGACTTGAATTGTTCATATGATTTATTGGACACTGCAGGAAGGTCATTTGTCTGTTGGATCAGTGCTTCAAGTGACTCGAGTGACTTGGATATTAAAGTCCAGTTTGAAGCACTGATCCAACAGACAAATGACCTTCCTGCAGTGTCCAATAAATCATATGAACAATTCAAGTCTACAGTATTAAACAGCTGCCATCAGTACATCAACACGAAACCAAATGTCAAAAGATTGATATCAGCCGAGCACAGAAAACAACTACGTGAGATTCTAAAGAACAAAAACTTGGTTCTGACACGCCCTGACAAATGTGCTGGCATTGTCCTGATGGATCGCCAAGACTACATCGATAAAATGTTATCAGTCTTGTCAGATGAAAACGAATTTATATTTGATGGAAAAAAAGATTTGCCAGTGAAACTTGAAAGCTGTTACAAATTAGTCAGTGGTGGTGGTGCATTGTAATATACCTAGTAGTAAAGAATATTATTTGGACATTTCGTCTTCTTTCCTCAAATGCGTACCAATTTTCATCTACTTCAGTATACATGATGTATAGTAATCTTTTTATGTAATGGTAAGATAACCCATTTGGAACGTGCGTGAGTGTTAACCGTTGAATTGTAATTACTTATTCGAACTAAAACAAGTGGGGTTCGTTAAAATTGTTAGCCTAGTGGATACTGTTTTTAGTGTTTGAAATGATAGATGCTTGATTCGGCTCTCACTTGTAGCATCATCACTGACTACGATGTGAGTTTACCCAACTGATGATCACCAAATAAGATGGAACGTGCGTCCTGGATTCCACAGTTGGCCTCAGTCAACCAGATAAAAAGCAAGTGAAAGTCTGAATCCCCTGAACATTAATGATTCCAAGCCGAATTTTCATAATAGTGAACGACAAATCAACTGTTATACCAGTGTATAAGTTCATTGATCGTGGGAGTAACTAACACAATATTTTTTATATTTTGGTTTAGGAAAAGTGAATGAACCATACAAATTTTTTTTATTCTTATAAGACTGTCAATTCTTATAGGATCCACATCATGAAGAATTAAAAAAAACTGTTATTAGTTGAGGATCATACAATGAATGTGCTAATGGATTGTAGTAATCTCATAACTCACATTGTACTGATTACAAAACAGGTGAAAATTCTGGTTAACCAGCTTAAATAGAAGAGCAAATTATAATGTGGTGCGCCTTAGTGGTTTTGTAAAATTTCACTTCTCAAGCATGTCCTAGATATTAGTGATATTCTGGTAAGAACCTTCAGTATGCAAGACTTATTGGCGTTTAAGATTTCTTTTCACAGGCTGCATTATCATGTGAAAAAGGAAGTTAATTGTTTTAATAACTGTATTATATTCGGTAGATATGTTATTTTTTCTACAGTCATATGGGAGATTTAGATATGCTTACACGGTCTAATAAATGTTACGAGCTTTCTGATTACTTTCCTTCTAATAAATAAGGAACGTGAGCATTGTAATCAGTCAGTTGAGTACCACATGTCAACAAACAAATCGTGTCATTTTGCTGTGATATGGCGAAAAAACGAACTGATGAAAAATGATTAAACCTGTTTTGAACAGCTTTAACTAATTTGCATCGAAAGCGGTTAGATCTGTTTTTTTATCCTTAGTGGTTTCATTCATATCAATCGTCTTATTCAGTTAATACGGTACTGTAACGTATTATTTATTGATCGGAATGTTTTATTCATTTTAATTTTTTGCAGCATATCAGGAATATTTTTCATTTGCCTTTACTTTACTTAGCCCCTGAAAAGCTTGAGCAGCGAGCTAAGCCTCGACGCCGAAAACATCACTCTCCGCAGGATAGCAGCTCATCGCCTCAACATCTACTGACAGGACCTTCATCAGCTGGAAGTAGTAACACAACTAATTATCCATCCTATTTACCATCACCTTTAACCACATCATCTCACCCTCAAACCGGACAGAATCATACTCCTCAGAGTTCCTCCTATATTTCCGGATCTGGTATGCCAATTCATCTGATGAATTCTGTTAAATTCCCTGGTTACATTAATCCGGGTCATTGCAATGATATTTCAATGACTACAGACACTTTTAATTCATCTGGCAGTTTAGAAAACAAGGAATGTAACTTTTTAACTAGTTCTCTGAAAGTTCCTTTGGTCGGGAAATCCGATGAATTGTTTTTACGGCCCGTGAATCAGAATGAAAGTCAAGGTGGCAAATTCATACCTCTTGAGTCATCTCAACAGTCAGACAGTGTAAGTTTGATATTAATCACCTTGTTTCTTCATGAATGTACACAAACTAAAATCTAGTATTTCGAGGTATATAAGTTATTAGTGTTGGAATTAGGTGTAAACCAGAGTGTACTAGACTGCTGTTTCTCTTCATTTTATGATTCTGTAAGACTGCACATTCTGGATTTTTCTTGTAATGGAACCATAGGAGTCGGCATTGATGTTGTACATTAACTTGTGACCGACAACTTGACAGATGGTAAATCTGTTTTGGGCCATTGAGTCCTAATTAACATAGAGTTAACAGAGCACTTGTTTTATTCCACTCATGATTCAGGTTTTTTTCACAGTATGTTGTATAGACTGCATTTTCAGTTTAATATGTGTGCTTTAGAACTTCTGACTGTTTTAAGTCGTCTTATACAACTTTAATGTGTGAGCAGATCTGTTTACTTCCATTTGTTGAACCCAGCTTCTATGACTCATGCTTACTCGAAAATGTTTTATTTCTTTACTATATCTTTATATATACTGTTATTATGAGTGGCTCAGTTTAAACTGTTTAAACAACGCGATTAAACTTGATTTCAAGAATGATGCATAATAGAATGGTCTGTATATATTGTCCTGAAATAAAACATGAGTTCTACTTCGCGACATTAGATATATCTCAGTGCTTGAGAAATATCCGTTTATAATTCAGTCGTCTAAGTGCCTATTTGGTCCTACCGGATTGCCATATATTCTATTTCTTATTGGACCCTTCCATTAAAAAATTTTCAATCTCTGGATTATCTAGAAAGTTTTAAAAGTGTAGTCTTCAAAAGTTCATTATGACAAGTACATACGAATTCTGTGTTTTATTGAACCAAAAAAAAACAACAACAACAAATAGATAAGATGCTCAGTGTGTCTGTCTGTTTTCGACATAGAACTTTGCACATATTTGCGGCAGTTCAAGTTGCCACACTCCATGTAGCGCACAAAGCCAGAGAAGACAGTAAAAACAAATGCAAAATAGAAACAATAAACCGAGGTGTGAGACAAAGGAATAGTAATAGCGAAGAACGATATAGTTTCATTTGAAATCCTAAGTCACAAGGAGTGGATGCATCTGCACCAGCCATTGAGATCGATTTTGAGCCATGTCACCAATTGTTTCCAACCATTGGTTTTTACCGTCCCGAGGACCCCAACCAGGAAGTCTACACCTTCCTACGTGGCTTAGGCTAACTGTTGTAGATTTCAATGACTGGTGCCATGTTTTCGTTTGACCACCGCCAACTCGTCTCCAGTGTGACCCTATGTCAGCTAACATTGCCCGTCGAGGAAGGCGATGACTAGGCATACGTAGCACATGTCTCACCATCTCAATCGATGTAATTTCACAGTTTCGTCGACTGATTTCCCCTCCTTACCTTGCACTCGACGCCTAACCTCAATATTGCTCACCTTATAGTACCACTACACACGGGAGATGGAACGCAGACACCTATGATCAAAGATAGATAATGTTTTCATGCCATCCACTCAATGGCCAGGTCTCACAGCCATAAAGGAGGACGGAGCGGACTGATGGGCATTACACACGCCCTTTTGTCGATAGTCGGATATCACGTCTACGCCAGAGACGGCGTAAACTAGCATATGCGAAACGAGCCCTCTGTATCCGTGCTGAGATTTCGTCAGAGATCAACCCGTTGACACCGGCTGATGGTAATTCCCAAGTAAGTGAAGCGGTCAACGTGCTCTACTACTTCACTCCCTATTTCTAAACTAGGAGTCAGTGTAGTCCAGTCCTGTAACATCATCTTACATTTGGCTGGAGCGAATCGCATGCCAAGCATTCGTAGGTTGTAGCTCAAGGTGTTCAGAAGACTCTGCATTTTGTCAGCGTCCTCGCCTAGAAGGACTGTATCACCTGCATATTCTAAGTCGACGAGATTATTCCCTGTTAGCAAGTTAATCCCTGAGTCTCTGAAGTGAGTTAGAGTTAAATCCACTAATACATCTATGATGAAATTGAATATAAATGGGGATAATGGGCATCCTTGACGGACGCCACTAGTCGTCACCAGTTCAGATAACAACTCGCCATAAGCTCTCACCTGGCTGCATGAGTTCGAGTAGCGTACCTTAGTCAGTGCAATGTGTTTCCTCGGCATGCCCTTCACAGCCAAATGTCGCCAGAGTACCTCTCGGTCGACAGAATCGAATGTCGCTTTCACGTCAAGAAATATGACGATTATTGGACACTGGTAAGTATTTCTATATTACAAAGTCTGTCGAAGGATGAAGATATGATCAATACATCCTCTTCCTGGTTTAAAGCTTGCCTGGTTCTCACGTGTTTGTTCCTCCCGAGCACCGCTTAATCTACGCATGATTATTGAGCCTAGGACTTTTATTATTATTTAAACGCAGAAAACACTTGGTACAGTATGGCACCAAGAAAGATGCGCCACACAATAATAATAAAACAACATAGATTAAAAGTAAAAATATAAGTAGAAAACGGATAAAGAACTTCATCTGGAAGGAAAACATTCATGTTTAACAAGTTCAAACAGTATTCGTTAACTATGATCAGGAAGGGAAGAAAGAAGGAAATTGCAACACGTTCGCCATTGATTACGATTCTTGGCGATATCCGATAGCGTTTCGAGCCATCGATTTGAGCTATCTCGCGGACCCCAACCAGGGAGTCGTGACACACCAACCGATGCTAATCTAGCACAAATATCTTTCATCCCACGACGCCACGTCATGAACTTACCACCCCCCGCCTTTTCCATCCCGTCCCAGGGATAGCGAACAGAGACGTGTACGGAAGCCACTGGGATGACATTTGCAGCACATGTCCAAGCCACCGGAGACGGTGTTTCCAGATGACGACACTCAATGAATGGTGATCTCCACTGTGTTCAAACGCATGCCACCGAACCTCAGGATTACTCACGCGATGATGCCATCGAACGCAAGCAATCCTGCGGAGACAGCGATGATCGAACATGCAGGGTCGCCGCACATCCTCAGCTCAGAGAGGCCAGGTTTCACAGGTATGGAGCAAGACAGTCCGTACCGAAGCTCTGTATACCCGACCTTTGACAGCCAGGCTAACGTCGCGACGGCGCCAGAGGTGGCTCAACTTGATGTATGCAACCCTAGCCTTCATTATACGGTTGGAAATCTCATCCGTCACCCCTCTGCCAGCACTCACACAACTACCCAGATACACAAACTTATTAACAACTTCAAGCGGTTCACCCGCAAGAGTGAGTGCAGGTACAGGCTCCTGCCAATCTTGTAACAATACTTTCCACTTAGACGGCGCAAAGTACATACCATACTTACAGACACTGATCGCCAACTGATTAAGTGCGATTTGGGCAGCCTGCATGCTATCGCATAGTAAGACGATATAGTCTGCCGTGCCACCGACGCACTAGATACTATATTAGTCAAGCTAATCCCTCTGTGATTATCACAGGAAGACTTGTCTCCCTTCTTGTATATCGGGATGGTCAGTGACTTACACCAACCCGATGGGACTTCTTCTGATTCCCAGACGCTGCCTAGAACCTCAGTTAATGCAGACAGTAAAATGTCTCCACCGTACTTAAATACCTCTGGAGTCATTCCATCAGGTCCCGCTGTTTCGCCTTGTTTCAGATTAGTGACAGCTTTAGTAACCTCAGTTAGGGACGGAGGACCTGTGTCTATATCACATTCAGGGAGGTGTTGGATGTTCAGTAAGTTGAGTGTGGCTGTAGGCCAATTAAACCGCTCCTCATAGTGCTCTTTCCAGCGTTATAAGATGCTCAGTATAACTTCATTGTTGTGACCATTGCAGTATTTGCTTAGCACATCTATTCATACATCAGCAATATTCAAATATTAGTTGAATAAATTTGTTCAACTGTAGCTCACTGGGTTATCCCTATCTCATAAGAGGAAACATTTAGTCATATATATAATGGTTGTTACTGTGACTCCCAACTATGTTCTTTTCACTTTCTCAGTTCACTTGAATAAAAACATGTTAAAATCAGATGTGCATCATATTTTACCGTGAATGGCAATTAGCCTACTCAGGTGATTAAAAATAAAGGTCATTTCAGGTCATATAAAATTTTGAATTGGTTTTTGTTCCTACTTTCCCACTCCAGCTCATATATATTTTTTTTATCGTGTTGAAGGTTGGTTGTATGTGTGATTTTCACTCACTATTATATTTTGTATACTTTCCAAACCCTGAGATGCAACCCGTGGATATCAACAATTCATCTAAATTATATGTTAGCCATATGTGAAATCTACGATCCCTTTAATCAATTAGTGAAGTTTAACATTGACATTAATAGTTTTTTTTTTTTTTCTTTTAAACAATGAAAGAATTACCACTAAATCGTCTAGATTAGAAAAGGCAAAATGAAGTAATCTTGCAAGATAGAGATCATTAAACAGTAAAACATTCGGAAAATCCTGGATAATATTTCTCTACACTTAGGTACTGCAATAATAATCTGAAAGCGTGTAAAAGATATTGCCTGTTATTGAAAAGCTTTTGTAACCGTACTAATTTACCCTGAAGTGTTTTAATCGGTTGGTTTACTGCATTACCTTGCTTTCATGAAGACGACCAAGGAAACACATTGTTAATGAGCCAGGCGAATAGTTCCTGAAGAAGTGTTGATCCGCGTTTTTAAAAGTACATTATCAGTGTTGTCAGTGAAATATCTATTTATTTATCATACAATGGAATACACATGGTATCAATGTAATCTCGTGATGCATATTGTTACAATATGATGGTATGAGGAGGTTGTAACTAATACTCCATTTGCTTTCTGAGAACATACTTCTATAAAAGTGAGGGCTTGTAAATTGCATGCATAGTTTTGCATCACACAGGCACAGTGGTTAATGAAGTTATTGCCCGCGTGATGTGAAATCAGTTATTTGTATTGATCATCTTTGGAATTCTAAATAATTTTTTATCTCTTATTTTATCCCATTTAGTTATCTTATTCATCCTAATATATTTTCATTTCTATTGTCTTCTTTACCCATACTTTTCGCGAGTTGCTTTAACCTTAACTGACAGTATATTATCAGGGTGCGTCGGTGGCACAGCGGTTAAGACTTTTGCCGACCATGCACACGGTCCGGGGTTCGATCCCTGCCGACGCACACCTGATATCAGTGGTCGGCCTGCTAAATTTGGGCTACCGATATCACATGCTGAAAATTCTATACTTGTACCAAAAATACGGTGTAGAACCAATGTATAATAAAAAAGAGAGAAATTACTGCTCTTATATCCTGATATTTCTTTTAGTAGGTACTGGATTATAGGTGTACCAAGGTTTTTTAAAATCTAATTCAAATGTTTCAGCTTTTGCCTTAGAGGAGTTAACTGTATTGCGAATTGGTAGTTAATATTAAATTTCAGAATTATGTACATTCAGAGTAGTGGGTGTGTAGGTTACTAGGCTAAAAATTCGAACCAGGAATATTAGTGTAGTAAAACGTGTACTTCCCGAAGGTGACTATTCACAATAAATAAAAATAATCGAATTCATAGAAACGAATTGTACAGTTAATAGTACGAAAATTGACCTTCAATTCTTGACATTTTGTTTTCGAAAACTTGCTGCCTTCTAGCATGACCTGATCGAATTTTTAACAGTGGTTTAATGATAAGCTTATTTTTGACTGTGTGATGCGATTTTGTTTTATTATCAGTATCCACAACATACAGATTTGTTTCTCTCCAATTAAAGTAAACTTAGACAATCAGTTATTGGGTGATGTTCGAAAGATGCGTTTGACGGTGATCTAAAGACTGTATACAATGCCTTTATTTAAAAATAGCTATCTGGAGAAGTTCATAAGAAAGCATATGACTACGAAAGTGGAGAAGATATGCTTTATCTCTAAGAATAAGTCACTCTAAGTGATATTGCAATTTAGAGATGATATCCCAAGCGAAGCTGTATTCAGCAAGTTATGAAACTCAATTCAGAGGACTTTGAATGTTGGTAAATTGTAGCTAATATATTTCCTACGCGCCTCGTCGTACCGAATCTGAAAGATGAAATGTCTAGGCTAGCCACCTCTTCCTGTGTCTTTCAATTCAACTGCTTCCATGGAGTCACTTATTTTGGCCGTCGATGTATAGATTTGATTTTTCGTGTTTGAGAACACCTATTAATGTGGTTGAATAAAGGTACAATAAAAAGCACTTAGAGTTCGATATTGGTAAACTTGCTCCAAACAGATCAGTATGGTAGAATTATTTTCTGTCATCTGTGTGTGTCCATAGTACTGCAAACTTAAGAAACCCACAGCAATTCGCTTAAAGCAGTCGGGACTTTGTGTACAAAAAATATGAATTCAGCGACTACCCTGGTTTACTGTGAGATTTGTGGATCTATAAATAGAGTATTAAGTCATGCCTTTCAGACGTGAAGCTTCGTCCTGCATGTATTAATTCCCCCTATCCCTTATTTATTATTACACTTGGATGAACAAACCCTTTATTCCCTTAATTTATCCTTGATTATTTACTTACACACTGGTGCACACACTTGACCTTCCACCCCATTGTTTTGAATGTTCTCATTCGTTGATATAAGGCATATAACCAAACTGAATAGAATTCAGTTTGAACACTAATCACGAATACTCACGACAATTTATTCACTGTTATTCATGATCAGTTCAATTTAGTACTATATTTGTGTATATTATTACAAGCATATGTTTTGAACTGTAATCTAGTAACAATCTATTCACACATGTTGGATTTTTGACATGAATGAATCAGTGTTTTTGCAAAACTGTAATGTGAACAGTAATATCACCTTAGCTATTATAGATATACGACTGCAGGTCCTGATGAAGTTGTTGAGAAAAATATTCCGTGTTCTGTAAGGAATTATCACTACTTGATAATACATTTTAGTTCACGAAATTATATGATACGACCTGCAAATATTTATAATAAATGAGTGTTGTCCTTCCTAAAACATAATTCACGTAACAATTTCAATCTCTTTTAGTGTTATAAACTACAGTCTGGACTCGGTCCTACACAATGTCGTCGGACAGGTGGTAGAACATTTTGTCAGCATCGGAGTTGTAGAATTCGTTTTATTCGAAAACATCGGCAGCGACTTCGCCGCACTCTTTCTGGTTCAAAATGCCTTCGTTCTCCTCCTATGCACATAATATCACCAGACCCTCACTTGTTAAACTGTTTGCAAAGCTGCATACGTCGTATTCGAGAGCCATTTACTCCAGATGAACAACTTGAAACAGGTGTTGCTGTTACACTGGAACAGGAATATAATCGCATGGATGCATGCATCAGACGGATAATACGGGTCGTTAAACTTCTGCCATATTTCAGTGAAGTTGGTAAACCTGCTCAGCTAAGTTTGTTAAGAGTAAGTTGTCTTAAAATATTTTTTAAATTTTCCGTTTCAACTTACTTCTTATTGGTGAAATTCATCAGTCACATTTTTGCTATGCTAACCTAATAATATATTTTAAAAATACTCAGTGCATCAAAGTCATTTGTACAAAATTGTCAATTAGCTTACTGATAGTATCTCGTGTAGTGGTTACATGCAGTTACGGGCAATTATAAATATTTCATATGAGCATGTAAGAATTATTGATATGTTTCCACTGAAATTTGCATTCTTTGCATTATATTATGGTATTTCACGTGCTTCGGTTTACGGTAGCACTGGCTGGTGTGTGTGCTAAAATGTGGAAATTCAGTGCTTGATTATTATTATTATTGTTTCCTTTAATTCCTAGAGGAACATAGGGCTTCAGCCGTGCGTCTCCATTGCATTCGGTTCTCTGCTAGAGTATTCACCTGGCTCCATGTCTGCCCACACGTTTTCATCTCCTCTTCACATGACTTCCTCTAAGTCACCCTTGCACTGACGACCAACTCGCCGCTTCCCTTTCGGGTTCCACTCGAGCAATGGCTTGTCTAGTGATGTCACTTGATGGTTTCCTCAGAGTATGGCCAATCCATCTCCATTTCTTCCTGCCTATTTGTTTGACAATTGGTTCCTGGTTGGTTCGCTCCCAGAGATCCCTGTTACCGATCTTTTCTAGTCATCTGATCTTGAGTATTGAGCGAAGACAACTGTTAATGAAGGTCTGTAGTTTGTTTGAGATGCTCTTTATGACGCGCTGGCCAAGTCTCTGATCCGTATAATAGCACTGACTTCACATTGGAGTTGAAAACCCGGATCTTAATTTTGATGCTGAGTGTTGTTGACCTCCACACAGACTTGAGAGTAGTGAAAGCTTGTCTTGCTTTTCCGATTCTTGCTTTGATATCCTCGTCAGTTCCGTCTGCCTGTAGTTGAAACGATGCTTCCCAGGTAGGTAAAGGAGGTTGTTTCTTTCAGGTTCCTCCCATTTATGCTGATCGTTGTCTGTTGTTGTTGTTCTTGTCCAGGAATCTTCATCACCTCTGTTTTATCTATGTTCACCTGAAGTCCTATCTTTGATGCTTCTTGTGCCAACTTGTTGCTTTTCGCTTGCATATCTTCCAGTTTGTGGGAAATCAGACATATATCATCGGCGAAGTCCAGATCCTTCAAGTTTTTTGTGTGAGTCCATTTTATGCCTGTTTCCTCATTGCCCACTCTTTGTCGCATTATCCAGTCTACTGCAATCAGGAAAATCATTGGCGATAGTAGGCAGCCAGCCTTGTCTTACTCCTGTCCTCACTTCGAAGGATTCCGTAAGTTTCCCGTTGTGGATTACTTGGCATGCAGCATTGTCGTACAGCTGTTGGATGAGATGTATAATTGTCGGTGGCACCCCGTAGTAGCGAAGTAGTTGTGAAATCACCTCTCGATCGACGCTGTCGAAGGCCTTTTCAAAGTCGATGAAGTTGAGATAGAGAGGTGACTGCCATTCCAAGCTTTGTTCAATGATGATCCGTAATGTGGCGATCTGATCAATACATGACTTGTTTCTCCTGAATCCAGCCTGTTCCGGTCGAAGTTTTCATCCAGGGTTTGTTTGATTCTCTCCAGGATGATGCGGCTTAGTATTTTGCTTGGGATAGACAGGAGCATAATTCCGCGCCAGTTCTTGCATTGACTTAAGTCTTCTTTCTTTGGTAGTTTGAATAAGTATCCTTTCTTCCAATCCTCGGGTACCTTGCCTTCTTTCCACACCTTCTCCAGTAGTGGCGTCATCAAGCCTGCTGTTGTCTCTGGGTCCATTTTCAATGCTTCTGCTGGGATTCCATCTGGTCCTGCTGCTTTTCCAGCTTTTAGCATCTTGATTGCCTTCAGGACTTCTGATTTCGTCGGGGGGTTGGTGTTCACTGGTAGCTCTGTCTCCGTTGTTGGTATTGTTGGGCGCGTTGTAGGTGGTGGTCGATTTAGGAGTCTTTTGAAGTGTTCAGCCCAGTGTTTCCTTTGCTCCACTTCTTTGGTGAGTGACTTTCCATTGTCATCCTTCACTGGTTGAATCTGTGTCAAACTTTTGCCCGATAGGTACCTAGTTGTTTGGTGGAGTGTTGCGAGGTCTCCTTTGCCTGCACTGCAGCTTGTTCTGCTTCACTTGCCATGGTTCATAATGCTTTCTTTTGTCTTCTCTGGCACTCTTCTTTACTCTTTTGTTCAGTGTCTTGTAGTTTGCATTCAAATCCTGTTTTTGTTGCTCGTCGGTGCACTGGAGAATCTTTTGTTTCACTATCCCTCTCTCTCCTATCAGTCTCCAAGTGTCCGTAGTGAGCCACTGTTTGTCCTGTCTCTTCTTTCTGCCTAGAACTTCCATGCAGGTTTGACTCCACACTGTTTTCAAGTTGTTTCAGTGCTTTTCGACGCTGACCTCTTCGCTAGTGTTGATTTGTGTCTCAGCTTTGTCCTTTATGCTTGCAGTGAAGATGTCCTTTGTGTCCTGGTCCTTCAGTTTTTGAGTGTTGAACTTGGCTTGTGGTCTATCTGCAGCTCCTGTTTCTCTGAAAGCTTTTAATTTGATTTGGATTGTCCCTTGTACGAGGTAGTGGTCTGAGCCAACGTCTGCTCCTCTTCTTACTTTCGTGTTCAGTAGGCTGCGTCTCCACTTCCTTGAGATTGAGATGAAGTCAATTTGGTTTTTGGTTCGCCCATCTGGTGACACCCATGTAGCCTTGTGGATATCCTTGTGTTTGTATACGCTGCCACCAATCACTAGTTCATTGAAGGCGCAGAAGTCGGCGAAGAGTTCTCCATTTTCATTCATTTCTCCGAGAGCTTCTCTACTCATGATGAGTTTACTTCCTGTGTTGTCTGGCCCCAGTTTGGCGTTCATGTCTCCCATTAGTATTTTAATGTCGCCGACTGGAGTATTGTCCATTGTTGCCTGTAGTTGTCTGTAGAATTCTTCTTTCTTTTCGAGGTCTGCGTTGTTTGTCGGTGCATAGCATTGTATAACTGACACTTTCCTTCCTTTTGAGTTGAATCTTGTGGTTATAATCCTGAGCGAGATCGCCTGCTATTGCAGCAGGGCCTTCGTTACCGTTGGTGACATCATGATAGCCACGCCCTCGATGTGCATGTGGTTATCCTCTGGGTGACCGGAGTAGATCATTGACTCACCCGTTGACAATTTGGTGAGTCCATTCCCGTTCCACCTGCTTTCACATATCCCCAGTACTTGAATTCCGTATCTCTTCATTTCGTTTGCGATCTGGGCAGCTTTGCCAATCTCGTACATAGTGCGGACATTCCATATCCCCACACAGACTTCTTCTTTTGACTCAAGGAGATTCGTCGTGCTGAAGTTTCTGTAGCAGCTTTGTTTACAGGGTGGGGTTGCTAGCCTCACGCCTGAGAAGGGGAGAGAGAAAAGGTTAGTGTTGCGTGACCGCAGAGCCAAGGGGACAACTGCTTGAGACCGGTCACATGCGGCCTGTTTTTGGTTGTTCTTTCTTGTTTGGTGTGTCTCAGTAGCACATTTATCACTTCTGCCCTGTGACACGGCAGCAGGAAGCGCGATCGTTGTTAATCCGGGCCCCGACCGATCCGGCATGATATTTTGTGAGTTTGTTTGAGTCATAGTATTGGATTGGGTAGCTGCTTTTTGTCTAACCGCTATCCAAACAACCTTTCTGGCATGGTAGGACCTACAGGTACATGCGTTCCAGCCACTGTAGCTCGTTGGGTCATTGCGATATGCAAACCCGACCACCACATCAAGGTAGCAGCTATCGGTTAGCTCTGAGTCACATTTGATGTGAAAAATCGTATGTTTTCACTCGGTTGTTCAGTGCTTATTGTAGGAACAGGCATTGAAATCATGTCTCATTATTTTAAAAGTCCAAGTGCTTAAACTAAGAAACTGCTGTACACTATGTTTTTATATTGGATTTTAATCTTTTTCCTTGATTTGAAACTAATTTATTTACAGTTTCCCACTCGTTTGAAGTTAAATGCTCTTTGCTGTCTGTCTGTGAAGAACCTCGATGGCTTAAGCTGACAGACTGTTGAGTCATATTCTTAGCAGTTAAAATCTATTCAGTTTATTTAGCTTGTACTCGTTCTACTTTCTTGGCTGAAATGTTGGTGTTTATTGTTGGTACTGGAGTTTGTGTAATTTCGTGGTAACCTAGTAGTAACTTAACGCAACTAACTGTTTTTCGTCCTACTACGTTGACTCCCTCGTCACTTCTTTCTACCAGTCAGGAACTAGGATGGTGGCGAAATTAAATCTGAACAAGCAATTTTGCCTAACTCCACCCTCATTGATCATATTCGATCACATCATAGGCTGTTTATCTTCACCAGTTCATTTTATATTTCATCATTTCTGAATTGATCTCATGTCTTTTTAATTCATTGGCTAACTGGTTGCTAGATACGAGAAAAGTTTTCGAAATATTCTCCGCTGGTCTGTTATCAGCATTCATCTTTTGCTATCCCACTTGTTAGTGAGATTGTAGATTAACCTTACTTTGATGATCTTATCATCCCATACGGAGAAATATATAATTAAGTTAAAATCTATACCAAAAAATCGCTTATCTTTGTGCTAATCTTGCAATTAGTGGTTTGTGACATATGTCTCTTTACTTTATGAAATTAAGTGATTTCTCTGATATAATTCTGTAGTTAATTAGTGACCTTAATCAGGTTATAAGCAGGTCATATACTGTGAATCATCGCTCAATAAAATTGTATCGATTTATTAAGTGTTAAACTAAGTGAAACCTACGTAGATTGTACTCTTCACGTTCAGATTTCTGTTTATGAGTGGTACTGTTTGTTAGCTCTAGATGTTTGAATCTTACTCATACAACGATAATATAAACTAAGATACCATTATATGTAGGTGAAATTAAAGTTCAAAGAACAACTGAGCAGTCAGTAATGATTTTGCTCTTTACTTAAATGGAAATATATCTCCATTAAAACTTATGTGAAAGGTGAAATAGTAATAGGGCTAATTCACCAAATGGGTATTTTTTGAGTAAAATTCACTAAATGAGCAAATTGAAGTATTTTGTGTTCCTTTATTACTTTGGTGAGTGTTAGTAATTAGTGTTACTAACTTATAGTATTCTGTGTATAATATGTTTACCAGTTGTATTTGGATAAGGAAGGACAGGTGAAGAGGTGTGCGAAGCTGAAACTATTACTTTGAAATGGCACTGCACACTGACAAGAAAAACAAAATACTGACAGAGGTAACAAGAAATTCGAAACAGGGCGAAAGTCTAATATGGTAATATACATATTCAACGTTCGTAGAAAAAAAAGAATGAATCTCCACCACCACCATTTATTTCAGACCACATTGATGTGCGTCGGTGGCACAGTGGTTAGGACTCTCGCCGACCATGCACATGGTCCGGGGTTCGATCCTGTTAAATTTGGCTACCGATATCCATGCTGAAAATTCCATACTTGTACTAAATACGGTGTGGAATCAAGCTGTAACCAAAAATTAAAAAAATAAAATGTCACTTTTTGCAGTAAATCATTTTAATAGACAAGTATACTCCTCCTTATCTCTATCTTCTTGTTTACGACATTCGAGTGGCTTGAACTAATTTGGTCATCTGATCTAACTGCAAGTGAGCAAAACCACCGTCCGGTGTATGGATCACTTCGAACTTGACGTCAGCCGCTTATATTAATCAATCAGTAGTGGCACAGTGGTTAGGACTCTCGTCGACCATGCACATGGTCCGGGGTTCGATCCCTGCCGACGCGCACCTGATATCAATGGTCGGCCTGCATAATTTGAGCTACCGATATCACATGCTGAAAATTCCATACTTGTACCACAATACGGTGTGGGATCAAGCGATAATCAAAATAAAAAATAAAATAAATAGTACCACTCCACTTCAGTTGCTATTTTGATTGTCCTTTATGGTACTGAGCAGATCGGATATTTTAATCTGAATATATTTGTAGTTTTCTAAAGAACTTATAGTGATTTCTCACTTTGAACTGACAAACTTAATTTTGTCCTTCGTTCCCTGCTAATTAGAGCGAAACAGGTTAAATAAAGACGTGACTTACTTATCACATTTCTTTGTCTTCCTAACTGTTTCTTGTTTTTAAATTTATTTATTGCTTTACCCTCGAAATCCTGGGTTTTTGAGGGAGTTGATGCATTGCAAGCATTTGTGCTTTTAAATGATTACAGATCCTGTAGTTACTGGTTTCGGTAAAGTCCACTGAAATCCGTGTGTTTGTCTGTTTGTATGCCTGGTCATCGATAGGCATGATTTCATTGTCCATGACTAAACTGCTGTGTTTGGAAGAAGCCCTTATTTATTTAACAACACTGTTGTGCTGATGAGTGCCAACTAGCACAAAACCTAGGTCCAAGGCTTCCTGCCGATTGCCTCCAACCATCAATTACCAACACTGTTGTGCATATATCTTGTGTAGTCCTCCCAAAGAAGTTTCTCTAACAATAGCCAGACGAGAAAAATGTATTTTTGAAATTGACTGCAAGACAATTTTCGTAAGCTAAACTCTCAATAACTGCATATGAATAACAAATTTTAATCACTAGGCAATACATGTTTGAGAAACATAATTAATATTTTCAGTAAATCCCGAATAAACACTTTTATTAGGCTTATATTACAGCATGTTACCAGTGTGATTAAAATGTATTAACAGATTCCTTTTGTGGTTAGAGTGACTTCCTTCGCTACCACAAAATGATGATTGTATAGTGCATCGTAATGTGTAGTCTAGAGTTTGATTCTCAGATATTATCCTTGTCCACATTCACCTTGAGACTTTTTCATAGTTTAGGTTAAACTTTACCAATAAAATTGAGTGGTTGTTGTATGTACTTTCTTTTTCAGACAAACATTTATGGATTAATTGTACTATATTCATCTTTCTTCTTTGAACGAGATATTCGGAAATTACGATATCCAGTACTGCAATTAGATGGGCAACTAACTACTGTTACAGTTTCAATGCTAGACGAGGTGGCTACTCCTAGCACAACTATCAGTGATTCAGATGATGGGATATCTGATTCATATTCTAAATTTCTTCATAATAGTAGCAATTTCAGATCTGTATCAAATTGTCGCCCTAATCAAGTAAATTATGCTATTGGTTTACGTGAAGAATTCGAATTGTATAAATCCAATACTCTTGCAGCTTTTGATCATCTAGACGAGTTGGTTGGTTCAGATGATATTCTCCGAATGTGTGTACTGGCTATCAAATTATTCTCGGACAATTCTCTTCCTGAAGATCTACGTGCTCCTGTATACGCTGCTAGGCAAGCGTATAGTTTATTTCTATGGAATTATATCCGATGGCAAGCAGGCTCCAAACGATTAAGATATGCTACTGAGCTTTATGCTCGTATCTTGATAGCCTTCATCGATTTAAGAACGTTAGAAATACGAATGACAGAATTCGCTAAATTGCTCAGCTTAGACGGTCTTAGTCCACTGATGCGTGAGGTATGTAGTCAACGTAGCACTTTAGGATCAACTTCTGCATAAAAGTTTGTTTGTATAACAATTAAAAAAAAACTTATCACAAAAATTAACATTTTGTTTATTTCCTTTTTACAAATCCCAATTGTATAATATGGGTAACAGCATTTTTTTCTTCCAACTTAAGAAAGCAGCAAAACTAGAGCAGAAAATAATGTAGCCTATGTATGATTATCTTTGTGCACGGACAACAGACAACTGTACACTAACTGATATCACAGTAACACTGCGTCTACCGGACTTTTGTTGCCGCAGCTATAACAAACTACCTACGACTACTAATTGATCCGTCTTTCTTTCTTTTCTGTCTCCCCTTACCTTGTACGTAATGACTAGGTTATTTTCTGTGTTCGTAAAGTGTGAACAAATGAATTGCTTTCAATTCTGTGATTGTGTATTTTCTTGCCAACGGGTTTGTATGTGTGTCTCAATGTTTGTATATCCATCATCATTTTGACCGAATTGCATTATATTTTATTCTCTTGTCCTGGTTTATTTGATAAAAAGACTGCATGAAAAGTGAAAGAGAAAAACAAGTGAAAAAACAGGATTTTCATTTTTATTGACTTTTAATTTATACAAGATTCTGTGAGTTATTTTCGTCAGCCTTTGAATTGCATGTATTTCTTTTGTTGTGTTGCTGGCGAACACTTATTATTTTCCTGTGTTAAGTATTCCTTTGTATTCGACACTGAACCGACTTGTTCCTTTATTTTTTAAATTTGTTCTTGACTAATTTCCTTTGCGATTACTTCATAGATGATGATGAGTAAGTAAGTAAGTAAGTGTACATCGTGTCAACTACCTAAACAGGATAAAACTCGTAATCTACCTCAAACCATAGTGATATTTGTATTAGTATTTATTATCACTACTATCTTGAATGCAAATATTTGTGTGAATGTTTTTAGTCAATCAACTCTTTTTAGGCACTATGCCACAGTTATTCTTTATTACTATTAGTAGTAATTTTTTTTCGCTTTCATTCTCTTTGTATTAAGCATACATTTAGACAAAAGAAATGTTTGCCTTAATGATGTTTCTCTTCTGATTTTTCTGTGTTTCCAAGGCGAAGTAAGGAAGTGAAATCATACGCATATCGTGTGTACAATCATGACCTGTTTTACAAATATTACAAATGTTATATTAGCCTTTACTCATGATTTAAAATTCCTCCATTAACGTGTAGTAACGTACTGCTTTATTCCAACTGAGAGACGCAAGAAGACTGTTTTTGGTGGGTTTTTAAACATGATGAGTAGGGAAAGCTACTCAGTCGTAAGCTAAATAGGAGTCTCGGTGGTGGGTGACAAATGCTAAAGAGGTGGGAAAGGCATCGGCGGTAGGTAATTCCGGAAAGCTGCTTAAAATCACTAGGAAAATGGATTGTAAAAATTCAACGATAGGTGAAACAATTTTCGATAACAACGCTGCCCTGATCACTTCTTAAGATATATAAATGGAATGTTATAGCTAACACTGAGGAGCTATCTAACCAGCCTAGAGCCACACCTAATATACCCAGTATACAGTGCTTACTTAAGTGGGATGTAGACATCAGTCGTCCAACTTTAACTGATTTTGCGGAAGCTGTCTGTAATCTAAAATGCTGCAAAACATTGGCACCTAATAGAATAACACCAGAGATATTTAAGGATTGTGTTGATGGACTGCCTATTGAATAAATTAATGTTTGGGAATCCGAGGTAATCCATGTTCTTGATTGAGGGGTGGAATCTGACTGGGTTGATAGAAAGTTACTGTGCCAGTGTCTGGACGTGAAAGAAGTGTGGATAAAGTGTCTCTATAATCAGAGCACTCTGCTACAACTCATACGGCCGTCTAACAGCTTATGGACAGTAGTGTGTGTCAACGATGGCAGATATCTCCATGTTGCTTAACTTCATCATAGATGTATGAATCTCCTTAAGTAACTCAGAAATTGACTTATTAGCGGAGAAGAGTTTCGTGCATTCGATGAATGTATATGATTCTGTCATTCTAGATGGACACTGACAAAATCCAGAGTTTTCAAGAGTCTATTTGCAGGGGTTTGGTTTATTTCAAGTTTGATCACGGATTGATGTCAATGAGAGAATCATTGAAAGCCAGAAAGTACTGGAAAGTTGTTTTGTCGTATTTACGGACTCTTCATCAGTAACTAGTGAGGTTTATCAGGTCAGGTGTGAAGCGAAATACTGGCCGATGACAGTGGCTGGTGGTCGCGCTGAAATCACGAATTAATAGAAGTTTAAATTCATGGGCTGCTGGACCAGGTCTCAGTGTCTGAATGGTCTACGACCGTACCTCGTAACCGGAAGGTCCTGAGTTCAAGCCCCGATGGTTGCGTACTGCTGAAGAGCTCCGCGCAAGGACAATGTGTCTATACAGTGCTACCTGGTTTTCAATGGTTCTCTAACTGACATCAATCCGTGATCAAACTTGAAATAAACCAAACCCCTACAAACTGATTCTTGAACACCCTGAAACTTGTCAGCGTCTTCATCATTTGCGTGTTGACTACTTCGCTTATTTGGAAAGTTGCATCAGCTGTAGCGGACTGGTTGCTGGCGAAATCTCAGCTCGTATAAAAATGGCTAGTGTGGGATTCATCCGTTTGTGTCACCTCTGGTGTATATGTGATATCTCGAAGGACGTATGTACTCCTCAGTAGTTTCCTGTTTCCTTCTTCATGGTTGTGAGACATGACCGTTGAAAGTGGGGCGTGAATAGGCTAGCTGTTTTTGAGGTTAGGCGTAGAGTGGTAGGTGAGAAGGTAAAATCAACCGTTGAAGTTGTAAAACAGCACCGACTGAGTTTGCTAGGACACGTGTTACGCATGGAGAGTCGTCGCCTTCCTCATGGAACGATGTTATTTCACATAGGGAATGGCTGGTCAACCCCTGTGGTGTGTGACAGCCGTTTTGAGCCAAACATGGAGGTGTAGACTACGTGACTGAGATGCTCATGACGATATACATTAACAGCTGGAGACTGTTGGTGACGTCTGAAAGTTGGACGTGGGAACAAGATCGAAACTCTTAACACTAATTTTAAGTCAGTGTATCTATATTGCTTAGAGACGTGGCACGCGCGTCACCAGTGGCATTTCCAGTAAGCTGCTAAAAAAATTAACAGATGCACTTGCTGGCTGGATGCTGCTCATAATAATATGATTATGAGCAATAGTTTGTGCTCGAAACGTCATCAGTTAATATCACTGTATAACACTGTGTGATTTATCAAAATAAAATCCCATTTTTTCCCGTCTAAGGACCGGCTGGTAAACTTATCGAGGCTCATTTAGACTAAGAATGGGATTTATATGTGAATACATGTACTACTTGGTTTTGAGCCACGTCTCCTGAAGTCTCCAATCATCCGTTTCCGTTTATTTGTCTAATTTACATAGACAATGTACTACCCAGATAGTGTAACATTGACTTCATATCATGGCTTAGTCTTATGATTCATACCCGCATTTAATCCAATCATATTTTCACCCATACAGCTGTAACAAGGCACACGTAAGTGAACATACGAAAATAAGTCCTTTTACTTTACGTCCTTCGAACAGGCTTTTGGAATACAGAGTAGGATTTTGTCCCAACACTGCAACTTGTCAGTGCTTCATAGATCGTGAGATGCAGCAGCATCAGTTTCTAAGGTAGATAACGTTTGCCAAACCTTGCCTATATGTTCCCAGTACTGTCCATACAATCGTCAATGCGTTTTTCCCACATAAGGAGTCATCTTTTATATATAGTGTTACTGGTATCTCAGTTATAAACCACATGTAGGCTCGGTTCAGGTAAAATTGTAAGCTGGATTTAAACTTTTGAGTGGATCTTAATTAAATTATCTCCAATACAGAGTCATTAATTCTACTTGAATTGCTACCAAAAAGGACCACTGCCTTCTGCATTTCCTTTATTATTGTTCCCTTGGGTTTCTAGTGGAACATAGGGCTTCAACTGCACGTCTCCACTTGCTTCTGTCTTCTGCTGTACTTTTCACTTGCATCCATGTTAGTCCATACTTTTTCAACACTTCTTCACACGAACTCCATGTCACCCTTGGACGTCCCACTCACCGCTTCCCTTTCGGGTTCCACTCGAGGGCCTGATGCGCGATGTCACCCAGCGGCCTCCTCAGCGAGTGTCCAATCCATCTCCACTTTCTCTTGTATATTTGTAGGGCGATTGGTTCTTGTTTTGTTTGTTCCCATAGTTTCTTGTTGGTGATTCTTTCCGGCCATCTGATCTTCAGTATAGAGCGAAGACAGTTGTTGATAAATGTCTGCAACAGGCTGTTGTAAATATTCTTTGTGACCCGCCAAGTTTCAGATCCGTATAGACGAAGAAGTGACTTGACATTTGTATTGAAAATCCGAATTTTGTTGTTGATGCTGAATGACGAAGATTTCCAAATTGGTTTCAGGTTGATGAATGTGTTTCTCGCCTTCCCGATTCTCGATTTGACATCCTTCTCCGTTCCTCCTGTAGTTGAAACAATGCTCCCTAGATAAGTGAAAGAAGTAACCTCTTTCAAATTCCCCCTGTTGATGGTGATTGGCGCTGGATGTTGTTGCTGTTGTTGTTGTTGTTGGTTATTTTGATAACCTACGTCTTGTCCATGTTCACCTGAAGTCCTGTCTTTGCTGCTTCTTCGACCAGTTTGTCGGTTTTTGCTTGTAAGTCTTCGATTTTGTGTGACATCAAACATAAATCATCTGCAAAATCCAGGTCTTCTAGGTTCTTCACGTCGGTCCAGGATATCCCTGTCTTCTCGTTTCCCACTGTCTACGCATAATCCAGGTCTTCTAGGTTCTTCACGTCGGTCCAGGATATCCCTGTCTTCTCGTTTCCCACTGTCTGACGCATAATCCAGTCCACCACAATTAGGAATATCATCATTGGTGATAATAAGCACCCTTGTCTGACTCCTGTGTTTACTCCAAACGCTTCGCTGAGTTTTCCGTTGTGGATGACTTGACATGTGCCGTTGTCGTACAGCTGTTGAATAAGGTTGATGAATATTTGGGGTACGTCGTAGTACTTGAGTAGTTTCCAAATTACTTCGCGGTCAACGCTGTCGAAGGCCTTCTCAAAGTCTATGAAGGAAGTTGAGGTAGAGGTTTGATTGCCATTCCATGCTTTGTTCTGTGATGATGATGCGTAGAGTTGGAATTTGGTCAGAACATGATTTGCCTTTCCTGAATCCAGCTTGTTCTGGTCGGAATTCTGCATCCAGTGCGTCCTTTATTCTCTTCAGGATGATGCGACTCAGGATTTTACTTGGCGTCGACAGGAGCATGATTTCACGCCAGTTCTTTCAGAGTCGTAGGTCGCCCTTCTTTGGTAGTTTCACAAGATAACCTTTCCTCCAGTCAGTAGGCACCTTTCCCTCCTTCTAGACCTTTTGCAATAATGGAGTCAGCATATCTGCTGTCGTCTCTGGGTCCGCTTTCAGTGCTTCAGGGTGTATTCCATCTGGTCCAGCTGCTTTTCCAGCTTACAGAAGCTTGATTGCATTCAAGACTTCAGCTTTCGTTGGAGGATTGGTGTCAACTTGCAGTTGTGTACGTGCTGTTGTTGGTATTTCTGGACGGGTTGCAGGTGGTGGTCGGTTCAAGAGTCCTTTGAAGTGGTCCGCCCATTGTTTAATCTGTCTTCCTTCCTTGGTAATTGGGTTCCCTTGGCTGTCTTTTATAGGTTTCACTTGTGTTGATCTCTTCCCGGATAGAGACTTGGTTATCTGATATAATGTCCTCAGGTCGCTTTTGCCTGCTGCTTTCTCAGCTTCATTGGTCAGATTGTCGTAGAATTGTCTTTTGTCCTTCCTAGCACTCTTCTTCACTTCTTTGTCCAGTGCTGTGTAAGTTGAACTCAGCGTCTCCTTCTCTGGTCCGTCATTGCATTGAATCATTTTCTCTTTCACCATTCTCCTCTCCTCTATTAGCTTCCAAGTGTCCGTTGAGAGCCATTACTTGTCTTGTCTCTTCTTTCTTCCTAGAACCGTTGAACACGTTTCGTTGAAAATCACCTTCGGAGAGTTCCAGTGGTCTTCCACGCATGATTCCTTAGTGATGCCACGTAGTGTTTCCTGCTTTGCCCTGACAGTTGCAGTGAAAGTGTCCTTTGTGGTTGTG